CAGAGGCTCTGCCTCGCCTTTGGGTGCTGTTTCCACAGCCTCCGTGGGACCTCTCCCCTCGATGTCCCGCTGACTACAACAGTTGTCAGCAAGCTCAGGTGGCCCACAGGAGATTTTCTCAGGTAGGTCCCAAGGTTAAAAAATACATGTGTGTAAGACATGAGCAACAACAGTAGGCAGCATGAAGCAGAGCAGAGAGACATGGCAAGACTGTGAGAGATCCACCTGCATCTTTATTGTATTCTTCTCACACGGGTTGTTACCTCGTGTTTACATTCTTACAGAGTGCTGTAACCGGTGCATGCATGCTTACCTGTGCTGAATCGTGGTTACATAACAGTATCCCACTGTGTATCTGCGCTAGACAAGTGGGTCAAGTCCTCAGGTGTCCTTAGATGTTCCTGAGCTTTGAAGCAGTCCAAGGGGTTCTCACATATATCTTTATCATGAGAAGAATAAATGTCAAGAATTGATAGTGTATGTTGTAGCCAAGATTTGCAAAGGAATTGATTTAATACAGGACACAATTTATAGGAGTGTTGTCTGGGTTGAGGAGGCTGAAGGAGTAAATGTGCCCGTGGGGTTCCTAAAGAAAGCACGCAGAGGCAGAGGTAAGCACAGCAGCAACAGGCAGCAAGCAGAGTGAGTGGCTGCATCTTCATTGTCTAGTTCTTACGTATGTTGTTATCACGTATTTACATCTTGCAGGCTTAACTGTGCAGCACAGGTGCAAATGCCCAAGGTTCAGTCAGGGTGACATAAGTGTATCCAGCTGTGCACACGCACCAAACAGCAGGGTCACATGTCCTCCTAGGTCCTCAGGCTTTGAAGCTGTCCTGATGTGGCTCTCCATCGTTATTTTGTAATATTCTTTCCAGAAGGGAGGCGCAGAAAAGTGCAAGAGATCTGTCTGCACTAGAGACCTAAAGAATCTTTCCAAGGGCCTGGACCCCACAGCAATGTATCAAACATTCTAGGTGAAGGCCTAGAGCCCAGGTCAATTCTCATGCAAGTCCATGTGAAGGAGCTGCACCTGGAAAGCCCATAGGCCAGTGGCAGAAGTAGAGTCTGCACTGGTGGGGTGAAGCATCTTTGCCAGAAGGCTGCGAGATCTGCATTGGAACCGGGATGCAATACTGAAGGCAAGGACCAGAGCTCCCCTGAAGAGAACAACAGCCATCTCCAGTGATAGTGAAGACTGGAGCTCCTCCCACAGGAGCCAACTCTATCAGGAAAACCAGCCACAGAAAGCATCTCCAGAAAAATCAACTGCATGCGGTCTCTCCATCCTAGTCTCCTTTCATGCCATTTGCCACAATCCTCGGGTGGGTCTTCCACATCCAGAACCATGATGACTCAGTTCGGCTGGGTGTTCCCACTCAAGTTGACCATTAGTGAATCCACCGCAGTGTACAAACAAGGGCCAGAAATTGATGGTTTAGAAGAACATATACGTCCAAAGATCACTTCAATCTCCACAAGGAAAACTGAGGAGATGCTAGGGAGGAAATTTGACACTTTTGCCTAAGAATCGGCATTCTTCAGATTTAATTATTTTTATATTCTGTTACATGTTCTCATACCATAGCTTTTTATTCTGACAAGAGGTGTCTTCTGTTTTAGTGAATTTTGAAAAAAAAATTATGGTTCACTGAATATATTATCAAAACATAGTTTTCAATAATAAAAGTTTGCCTTTGATATACTAAATAGCAAGATTATCACTTTCTTCTGAGTACATTAATTTGTTAGAACCTTAAAAACCTGAATCTATGTTACAAATGTGGGAAATCCTTGTACATAAGTTTTTTGTTTTGATTTTGTAATAACAGATAAAGATCTATCAGACCACATGACTGTCTCCTTGGGTTTTGACTCTTGGCAATTCATTTCACTAAATAAATTAGAATAGCATGAGTGACAACTGTATTGTATTTGTGCTGGAATTTGCAAAGTGGAGTGTGGTGGTGGAGTAGGCCCCTAAAACTGTAGGATGTTCAATGGTTGCTGCAAAAAATTTAAAACAGGAAGAAAGGGTGAAAAAAGTATATCCTTTAAGAATCCTGTATTCTTTAAAGTTACTCAGTGTATTTTTAAAATATTTTTTATGGCTTCTGAAGAACTCAACCTGTGAAAGTTGAAATTTAAGGCAGTGTTCAGAATCATTGTCCATAATTAAGGAATTTGAAAGACCACCAGTTTTTAAGATTACTTGTTGATGTGGAATATTTCATCAGAATTAAGTTGTTTTCAAAGTTACAAGTCATTAAAAAAAAAAAAAAAACCTGTCTGGGCTCTCCAAAGGGAGACACTTCTAATCAACTGAATATGCCTGAATGTATTCTTAAAGTCTTCAGATGAGTATTAAAACAATGACATAATAGCACCAGTTGTGAATATAGAATAAACAACTCCTTGCAAATATTGTAAAAATATCCAAAGCACCAACCAGGCTGTACTTTAAAGTGACTAATAGTATTAATGTTTAAATTGTAGAATTACCCAGATTAAAATAGGAAAAAATGACAATATTCAGAACTTAGGTAATTCTCTAATTCATTTTTCTTTCTCTCATACATTATATTACAACAAATAGTACTGTAAAAGTTTTTAAAAGACAAATTAAACAAAGAGAACTGAGAAGGATGTGTTATTTTTGATGATTAAGACACATTAACTTTTCCATGGGGAAATCAATAAATTGCATGAATATTTCAATGAAGCTAATTTTAAAACCATGACTTTAATGTCTTCCCTTAGTTAAGATATCTAAGTAATGTTCTGAATCATAATTTATATTTGGACTCCAAACTATAAGAATGTATGTACAATTATCTTTTTCTTTTTTCTGCTTGGATCTAGATCCCTGTTCTACATGAAATAAGGCTTTTAAAAAATTAAACAAAACAGTCCAGGAATCATTTACACTAAATAAATAGTATTTTGTAAATTGCAAGTAGTTGTAATCAGAAAGATCAATAATGATAGTATTTGTCATATAATTCTGCTTAGATTATCAATTTTTTTACATGAAACAGGATTTACTAGCTAAATGGAATGTGTAATTACTTAAGACATGTTTTATTAATTCATTTTGTATACATTTATTAATAACTTAGACCATACCAGACAGACTAAGGCATCGAAGAGTCAGGACCCTTTGCTCATAGAGATTCTAGTTCAGTGTATTAGAATGGAGAACACCATGTCATCAAAAATGAATGTAGGGGCTGGGGATTTAGCTCAGCACCTGCCTGGCAAGCGCAAGGTCGTGAGTTCGGTTCCCAGTACCGGAGAAAAACCAAAAAAACCAAAAAGAAAAAAAAAAAATGAATGTAAATTTGCTGTCGTGACATGTGCACTAACAGGTGGGTGGTGGAGCTCTGTACGCTGTAAGAAATGTCACTTGTATGCAAGCCTTCTAAACACATCACACAATTTTAAAAATTTAGATTTCTGCATTCTAGTGGAAAACTACCTTCCCATTGTTAGTCTCTTTCTTTAAAAACATAGCTGCAGCATGGTCTTAAGACTAGTGCTTCTCAATTAATTTAATGGCCATATTATTTTTCATTATTGTAAGTAGTGTATCAAAGTCCCCTACCATTGCTGTCCTGCAATCTTTCTCTCCCTTCAAATCCTTCAATATTTGCTTTATATGTTTAACTACTACACTGTTGGTGTGTGTATATTTGTAATTGTTGAATGTCCTTGATTAATTCACCCCTTTATCATTATATAGCATTCTTCATTTTTTTGCATGTTTTGATGTAAAGTGTATTTTCTGTGATAGACTATCACTAGCTCTGCTCTATTTTATTTCCCATCACCATGGAATATCTTTTTCCATCCCTTCACTATCAGTCTATGTGTGCCTTAAAGTAAGTGAGTCTCTTGTAAGTTACATATAACTGGCTCTGAATTTTTCTATTAATTCATTTACTCTATGTCCTTTGAGTATAAAATTTAAAACATTTATATTCAAGGTAATTGTTAACCACAGGACTTATTACTGCCTTTTTCATAGTTATGCTCTGGTTGCCTCATAGATATTTTGGATGTTTCCTCCTCTCTAACTATCTTCCTTTGTGACTTGACAGTTTTCTGTATAGGTATACTGGAAATCTTTTTTTTAGTTTTTGATTTATGCATCTCCTATACGTTTGCAGCATCCATAATCAAATGGTGTAGAGTCTCAGGGAGAATGAGTTTGAGTTTCTTTGAGATTTGTTATATAGCATGATAAATGTACCTGCTCATTGAATATAGTACATTTCAATATTACTAAGAGAAGAAGTCTCTATTTTTATCACAAAATTGTCAAATATATGAGGTGATGGATAAGTTAAGTAGTTGGATTTGATCACTCCTCATTGTAGTAAAAATCCAAAGCATCACTTTGTGCTCAACAAATGCAGACAAGTATAATTTGTGAGCATAAAATTAAAAAGTCTTTCTCATTATATTGCAAAAATTGAATTCAGTTATTCTCAGCTTTCAAATGTTAGTCAAGCAAAAACAATAAAAGTGTATATCTCTGCATTTAATTTTAAGAATGCAGTTTAAGAGAAACAATAATCCTTGTATTTTGAGGACTTTACTTCACGTAGGATAAATTTAAGGGTTAGGGTTTTAAAAGGACCTGGATATATCACATTATGGCTTTACTACTTTTCCAAAGAAATGTATTTTTTCCCAATCAAGCTTTATTCATTTTATTTTAGGTATATAGAATGATCCCATTCATCACAGATCATCTGTATCTGCACACTAGATAACTTGTTTCTTTTTTCCCCCATTTTCCTACCTTTCCTTCCACCCTTCCTCCCCTCCCCATTTACAAAAGCTTTGTTTCCAATTTTTTCCTTTTTTTCATATTTTTTACTTTTCCCTTTTTTCCTTTTCCTCCCCCCTCTCCCTTGCTCCCCTTCCCATTTGAACATTGCATGTTGAGACCATACTTTTCAGCACAATAAATCAAACACACATGTGTAGATACTGCTTGTTTCTCTGGGGTGAGAGATAAAGTATAAATAAAGATGAAAATGTGTAATAGGTATCCGTACATTATTATTTCCATAAACATTAGCCTAAAAGAGGAAACAGGTGCCTACTCCCTCTTAGTTATTTGCAAGCAGATGGCCTTATTATCTCATTGTCCTAAACAATGCGCTCTGTGAGAAGCTGGTGATGCTCTTCTTTCATGTAAGTGGAAGAGAAGATGAGAAACAGGGCTGGTATATTTTGGCAGTCTGAGTCTATCTAAATACCTGCAATATACAGAGAGCTCCGGATTAGATTTCTTAGATTACTCATTATGTACTTGTTCTCAACATCATGAATTCAGGTAAGTACCTTCTTTCCTTTCTTCATTTCAAAGGAATCTTTTTTCTTTCTAATACTGTGTAGTGTAAGATTGTAAATTTTTAGCACTGTTCTTGACACACAGAAAACGGTAGAGGACACGCAGTCGATTATCAGAGGTGAAGCCGCAGGAACACCGTAGGTAGTGACTACGACATGGAAATTATATCTTTCTTTGCGCTTTATAAGCTGTTCCACTTCTTTTTGATCCTACAAAGTACAGAGTCTGTCATCCTGAAATTTAAAAGGATAAAGCATTCCACTCCACAGTTGAGACAAATAATTTAGCACCGTTGAGCCTTAACTTTCCTGTGATGATGGGCAATAAAATCTCAGGACAAATTCCAGTTTCCAAGAATTTGCCCTTTCCGTGCCATTAACATTAATTCCTCGAACATATTTTAATTGGACAGTCTTTTATTTAATGCTGTTTTGCTACGTTTTGGACATACAAACGTATTTCTTCTTCATTGTAACTTCTTTCCCTCCTCCATAGTCTTCACTTCAATTATCCCTTTCTTTCTTGTTATTCAGATGAGGAAATTTTAAAAATAATTAAGAATTAATTAATTTGCTCTAACAATAGGCTGTAAATTTGTAGCCCAGTGCTTGACACACAGAAAAGAGTAGAGGGTACACAGTCAATCACCAGAGGCGCAGCTACAGGAACACCATAGGTAGTGACTAAGACAAGGAAATTATGTCTTTCTGTGTGTTTTATAAACTATTCCACTCATTACTGATCCTACAAAGTACAGGGTTCTGTCAGCCTGAATTTTAAAAGTTAAAAAAGTTATTCCTCTAAGTTTCGTTTGAGCATAAAGAATAAGAGCTAATGTATTTTCTGTGAACTTTGAAGTAATGTTAATTTTAGAAAATTATTTACCAGTTTTGCTTGCGAGTTTCGAAAAATATGTTTTCTCCTGATCAGTCTAGAAGTGACCGATGGCCATTCTTTTCTCTATCGGTCACAAGTTTTTCAAGGGATGACACAGTGCTTGTCCTTGTTTATGTTATTGTCTGCAAAAATGAAGATGATAAATACCATACGTTACACCTCATTAATTATATTTCTCTGAAGATAACCCCATTCATAGAAAAAATATAAATATTTAAAAATCAGTGTAAAATTCTGGAGAGAATTGAGTGTAGCCAATTATTTTGTTTGGTTCCTAGATTTAGTTATATTTCCTGGTAATGTTTATTTTGGAAGTATTTTTATATGACCACAGAATCCATAACAAGAGCACATTCTACATAAGTTGATAATTTGAGTAATAAAGCAGTAAAGTATAGCCCTTTTCCAGCCTTCTGAGTTTTTTAAAAGTAATTATTATTATTTGGAATTTCAAGTCGTGCCTTTACAAGTTCTTAGAGATATGGATAATACAATTAAAAGAGACTTGTTATTCTGAAAGGTGAGAACACTAATGATGCTGAAGTCACAAAGGAAAGGCAGTACATGGAGAAGCAAACCAACTAAAAGCTGGCCCTTATCTCTTGGAAATATATTCTTCTGACTTTCAACAGAAGCTAAAGTTTCTTGTTCTGCTGAAAATGCTCAAACTAAATAATGCAAGTGTAGGAATGCCCATGCTCTGATGGGAATGTATTTGTTAAATTCCACGTGTTAGAAATTTAACTCCCCAAAGTCATGAAGGTATCTCCTTTGGCAGATAACTAGGGGTAGATGAGGTTATCAAGGTGACTGGGTAGGTGGCTTCATAGAACAGGGAGAAAGGCTTGAGTCATAGATGTTTCCTCAGTCTCATCATGTGATGCCCTCTGCCACGTTATCACTGATAAGAGCAACCACACTAGATGCTGGGTGGATACAGGCACAAGCTTGTGAACTTCCTCGCCTCTAGACAGGGAGAGCTAATGTACTCATGCTTCCTGGAAACCCAGACTGTAGTATTCAGTTATCACAAGAGAAAGTTGGCTAACCCAGACTGCAACCTAAATAGCAATATATTCCACTTAGAGGAAGAACTTACAAAATAGTAGTGATATGAAGGTGGAGTGAATGAAAATTTAAAAACTAATTTACATGTTCTCTTAAAATGACTCTACTATGTATTGTTATGGTTTGTGTCTGGGTGTCCCCACAGCCTCATGCAGTCATGGGGCAGGCTTCTAGAGTTTATGATTGATTCGTGGTCCAATGTTGGAATTATGGATGTAAGTGCTACACTTGTCCTGGGGCAGGTAGTTTGTATACATTGTAAGGGAGTGAAGGAGGCCTGCTCTCTGCTGCTACTTCTTCCTTTTGCTCTTGCTTTTTTTGTCTTCTGCCACTGTGAACTTTTGCCCTCTGCTGTGTGCCACTCTGCCTTGGAGCCAGCCGAGTATGGAGTGAAATCTCCACAAACTGTGAGCTAAATAAACCTTTCCTTCCTTAATTTTGGGCATCAGGTATTTTGTCTCAGCAACAAGTGCAAAGTCATCAAGACATGTATGCTCTTAATTTTTTAATAAAAGAAAAAATATATTTTCTGGAGTCCAAACGAGTCATATTACATATGATTATATCACAAAACACTGGCTGCCACTGTCCCGGTGAATATGTCAATTTCTTCCATTCATTCTCCTTCTGCTTTTCTACAAATACTGTGTAGATAATTTGCAACACAGAATGACTTGGAGATGGGCTACTATTTCTTTGCAGCATAATACAAAAAACAGGCTTCCATCCACTTTGGTAATATCATTCCTTGGCAGTAGTTAAAAGTGTATAACAGCTGCAACAGCTGTCAGATTTAACAATTCATCTACTGAGAGAAAATTACATCAAAAAATAAGAAAAGGGATCTAGCCACATGTGACCTCACATACTATATCTTTAATCAAAAGATGGAAGGAACGGGCTCCTCCCCCAAGTCAGTGTCTCCTTGCCTTATCATACATACGTGCAATTCAACATCAATGTCATGTGAAAATCCCGTAACCAAGTAAGACTATGGAAAGCCTTTGTTAATGAACAACTAAGCAATTTTGTATAAAAATATTAGTCTCTTACATTATTTCTTTGGCTACTATTAACTAATCTTACCAACTTGTTCATCCTCAAATTTTGCTGATTGTCAGCAAGTAAAAATATCTGGATCCACCATCACATTTTACATGGAATTAAATCACAGTTAAAGGCCCTGCCATTGAAGGGTCAGACAAAGATTGGAAACCTTGAGTTAATCTCCTCAATACTACATGAAACGTAGGACCTGAACAAATGTGTATTTGGACCCACTTATAAAAATAACTAAATCGCTTTTAGCTTTAGAAACTGAGTAAGGAATTTCCATTCTACTTATAACAACTCATTTTGGGTTTCTCCAGTGGATTGACTGATAGTGCTATTCAACACTATCTTTACTGACTGTCTGTATTTGGGATTTATCAATAAGTGATAGTGAGACATGGAATTTTCCAATGATAATAGTCATTTTTTTTTTGTATAGTTCTCGTTGCAGTTTTAACCATTGTTGTTCTATGTATGCTGACTCTTAGTGGGTATATATGTTAAAGACTGCTATGTGCTTTGGATAACTGACCTACTTTATCATTATACAATGCACATCAATAGGAATAATAGTAGGGGACTGTAGTTCAAAGACCTTTAACATGCATATTTTTCTACTCTTAAGATGGAAAAATAAATATGGATAAGTGAGTTAAATGCTTCTTCTCAAGCAAAACAAGGTTTAAGTAAAATCTTTTAACCTGCAGAGTAAAATTTATTATGGGGAATGCTCTGGTCGTATTTCATACTGGTTTTCTCTTGGACCTATTAGAACTATAAAGGACTAATTCTTTTGCTGAACCTGGTGAAATTCCTGGAGCCATGAAAGTTCAGGGCTTTCTTAATGCTGTGTCCTCAGAAGTTTCTCACTGTCATGCTACCCCAAGCTCAGCCTTCAGGGATTTGTCAAAATTACCATTAAATGTTCTTACCAATTTATGGCTCCAGTGGATTCTGTCTCAGTAGAGAGGTCTTTCTTTTCTACTTAATTTATTCTTAATTGACACATAAAAGGCACTTATATATACATATATAATGTTTTCTCATTTACATACATTGTGGAATGGCAAAATCAAGCTATTTAACATGAGCATTACCTCACATTCTTATAAATGTTTGTAGTGAGAAGATTTCAAATCTATTCTCCTAGATTTTTTATACTTCACACATAATTGAAATTTTCATATTTGCTTTTCTGAGCTAGTCTTTTTTTCACTTGACAGAATGCCCTAAAGATGTGTCCATCTTCTCATAAATGACAAGATTTCTTCTTTTTTAAGGGTGAATATTCAATTTTGTGTTTACCTATACACATATATCATATTTTCTTCATCCATTGATTGGTAGACACACAGTCTGATTCCATATCTTGTCTGTTGTAAGTAATGCTACAGTGAATACTGAAATGCATATATCCCTTCCTCTAACTCTCTCCCTATCATTTGAACACACACTTCAGAGTGGATCCCCTGATCTCGGTATTTGTTGTGCTTCGAGGAACACCATGCAATCCTCCATGGTGACCGTGTAAGTGTGCATCACAACCTAGACTGCACAAGGGTTTCCATCTCTCCACATTCTTTCCAATGTCTTCATGTTTTGTCTTTTTATAGCAGCCGCTCAAACAGAAGTGCAATGATATCACATACGATTTTGCTTCACTGATGATTTGTTTCACAAACAAATCATGATCATTTATTCACATAGTTACTCATCTCCATGTTTTCTTTTGAGATATGTCTATCACAGTCTACTTTTCTTTTTAATCAGGTCATTTGATTTTTACTGTTGAATTGTTTGAGTTCCTTATGTACTTGGGACATTAGCCCCAGTCAGATGTGGTTAAGCAGGTCTTATTTGTGAATATGGATTTACCTTATTCTTCAGTTTTCAGCCTATTTTTCCCAGAGATATTTCCCCACTGAAACATCTGAACAGTTTTTTAAACCTGGGATACAAGTTTCATGACAATAAATTGATTAATACCTTATTTATCATTTTCTTGCCAGAGCCAAGAAATATGGTCTGTGGGCACAAAGTGGTCAATAAGTATTAAATCATTGCTCAGAGGAAATTTAGGAGCGGTGAGTTGATCGTGGGTAGAGGAAACTGATCACAACAAAAGCCTGTGACCCTACTATTCTAGGTCAACAGTATCTGTGCTGAGACCACACACTGGTACTAAGAGGCCGTGTGGAGACAAGTTTTTTCTTAGAATCTATTATGCATTGAATCATGATTCTTCTGAAGGAGAAATTTACTGTCTTGTGTCTTTACAAAATAACAGGATATTTATAGAAATATAATATAAATGAATATATATGAATATATATATATATGAGAAGCTATCATATTCCAAACAAAAATTTAAAAACATAAATGTGGAAGGAGGGAGAAATCACTAAGAGGCAAGCTAATTATGGAAAAGTTTTATGAAATCTGGTGAAAGACTGAGCCCTGAAAATAAAACACGAAACATTTGACTAGAAGAAACGAAGGCAGAGTGATGCAAGGAAGGAAGGATAGATGGATGGATGGATGGATGGATGGATGAATGGATGATGGATGGATGGTTGGATGGATGGATGGATGGATGATGGATGGATGGATAGATGGATGGATGCATGGTGGACTGAAGGGAAGAGGTGGATAACTAGGCATATACTTAAGAAGAAACAGCAAGATGAGCCAAAACACACAGGAAACATAGTTCATGAAATGAAAGGAAGAGCAGGGAGAACATTTAGTTGATCATACAGGATTTAGGGTGATGCACATTATTAAATCAGGTTACAAAGGTAAGGGCCAAGTAATAATTTAAACCCCAATCATAAAACAGAATGGTGGAATTAAAATGTACCTGCTATACAATTTCTAGACCTCTCCAAGAGCAATTTTTCAAATGATAGTAAATCATGAAGACACTGGATCATTTGGCATTAAAATGATCTGATAAGTTGCAGACACAATCCAATTAAGTTTCAATCAATACCTTAGCATTTTGAAACATTTGCAATAATTTTTTATATGTAACCATGTCATCAAATTTGCGTGCAATTGCAGTGAAATCCCAGATTCCCATCACTACTGAAAATATCTCTGACCCTGAAAACATCAACCTAAAATATGAAAAAGCATTGTGAAAACTGATAAAAGAAATGAAATTTTCATCAAGAAAAACAGTAATTGGAAGACTAATGGCAAATATATCCAAATATGTAGAAAACTATTTAGATATTGCTTTATCTATGCTTTAAATTTTAATAAAAATAAACTTTCTTTTTTTAAGACTTTCCATATGCCTTTTTACACAAATGTTAACTTTACAGTGAATGAAACCTATGTGACTCATGACATATATACTTAGTCAAAAATATTATTTCCTTCAAGTAAAAGAAAATGTCATGCAGCATGGGCTTTGATTTACCATTAAGTGTGAGTGTCTACGCTTTTGTGAACCACAGGTTGGCCAAAACCTTGAAAAACTACACAAGATCCAAATGTAAGTAAAATTAACTTATTGTAGAGTCAGCCATGTATTTTACAAATAGTGTTTCTCCTCTTCATAGATTCCATTTTCTAGGTTGATTTTTCCATATCTTATTAATGAGCATCAATACATGCTCACATCTTAAGCAATAGAAATATATATTCTCTTATATATTCTCTTATATTCTCATATCTACTAAGCTATGCTGTTATGTGTTATGTTGCAAAATACCAAAAGACCATAAAATTATGCTCATCAAAGTCTCAATTACTAGTGTATTTTGACATGACAATGCCATATTATTTTCCCTGTTGACTTCAAATTGCAATGTTGCATGAATGGTATATAATAAGATTGAAAATTAAAGAATGGGTTGTGTGTAGGTATGCAAAATTGTGCTATCAGGGCCATTTATATGTGCTACAGAAAATATTGTAGTCTAAAAACAATTGATCTTGAATGACACATTTCCAAGAAAAACAAAATCAAGCTTTCATCAAAAAAAATTTTATTAATTGTTGGTCACATTGTTAGCTTTATATAGAAATAACTTTTATGTAGGTTAACAGTCTTAGGGTTGCATGGCTATAAAAATAGCTCACTTTTGGAAAATTCTCAAATTCAAAACTCAGGAGACAAGGAAATCCAAACCTCTGTTGCTAGAGATATTATTATCTTTCCAAGCTGTTTTTCTTTTCATCCCATAAAATCTTGCTACAGTTAAAGTCATAATAAGTGACTGAATGATATCCAATATAATATATTCATAGAAATAGGTTGGGAAAAAGATGTAGAAAATTGTGTCTTATTGCAAATCTTTTAATATAAATTTACTAAGTGCAGTCAAATTCACATGCAACTGCTCTATCACATTATGCAAAATTTTCATACACTTGTGTTATCAAATAACTATTTTTATCATGACTACGTGTCCTCAATTTATCTTAGTGAATCTCTGATCAAAATGCTACTTACGTGACTGTGAACATTATCCTAACATGAAATTTAGCATTTACTATTTGCCTTCTTAGATAAAAAGTTGTTAAATGCTCTGAATCAGAGAAAAGTTAGACATTTTCACATGCTTTAAAATGAAAAGTTGGTTAATATTTCAGCTTGCTACTGGCAATTATTTCTTTGTCAGATAGTTGACACCATTTTCAGAAAAATTGATTCTAATAATAAGTCCCTTGCAGTATTTTTTCATTTCCTGAGAATATTAACTTCAATTTTCCAATAAAACTATAAATCATCTAGAATGCTTTATCAGAAGAATTCATAATACTTTTTTATATCACACAACATATATTTAATTTAATTACTGTATTTAAACACCACATTAATCTTACCAATTTTGGAGAGAGAATGTCTTTCTTCCTTTAGTTCTTCAATATAATCTCACACCATCTCATGCTTCCTGATATTACAATATTTTATCTGTCCCTCCTCACCTATTTTATAGGACCTGCTGGATATTAAAGAAATAGCTCAATAATTTGTGCAGTAATTGAATGGCCGCTATTTTAAAATATGTGTTTTAAGTCAGCTTTTAATTAAAATGCCGTGGTCTAGAGAATCTAGGTTTGTATTTTTGGAGTTACTTGCTTTTGGCTTAACAGAACTTCGACTCTAACAAAGCCCACCACCTGGTTACAGCATCGTTTCATTCGTCACGAGGGCATCTCTCAGTATTCCTGACCTGTTACGGTCGGGGGCCACCAACGATGCTTCGATCAAGGACAGACCACGCATGCGGAGGTGGTGGCCCGAGACTGTTGCTTAGTGAGTCGTAGCTGTCCTGATTTGTGCCACTGACGCAAGGACAGAACAGCCTAACAAGGCACTGCTCCTACAATGGATCTGCGCTTTTAGCCGACGTGTAATGTATGCAGGTAAAGCTCTCTCGCGATAGCCGCGCGCACAGAGCGCCCGTGTTCTCTTTGCAGTGCTGTGCTGTCTTATCACTGAGTGTAAAGGACTGTGGACACTTGAGAATCCAGTCTGCATATTGAAAAGAATCGGAGCCACGGCCCTTCCAGGCACTTTCTAGCGCCCAGTCGTCACCTCAACGCTCCATCTCTGTGGCCTTGGGAAGATTCTGGGCATCACGCTGAAAATCACTGAATGACGCCCTACTTGGGGCATAGCTTAGCAACAGTGTGTTTGCATATTGTGCATGAGTCCCTGGATTCGATCTCCCGCACTAGAAAAAAATAAAAGGGAAAGGGAAGCCACTGATTTAAATTCATGGGTCATATTTTAGATGACTGATAAAAAGATTACATCCTGAATTTTCGTAAAGTGATTAGAAACAAGGTCTTCTACCCACTCTCTGAAATGAGGTGGAAGAACTCATGGATGTACCACAGCTAGTAAATACTCTTAAACTTTTCAAACTAAATGACTTTAAAACACTTCTATGTAAACGCACATAGGATATCATTCTTTGATTTATTCTTAGAAATGGCAGCAGGTGGAAAACCTTACATATTATCAACTTTCAGAAGGGGCATAATACCCCAAGGTTAATCTTTACTTTGTCATATTTCACTATTATATCACTTTGGAAAAGTGTTTCTTACGATAATGCTTTGTACAACCTTTGTTTAGTAAGTGTCATGAAATCTGAAACAATGTCTGCACAATAACCGACCTTAAGTAGTCACAAAGTTCTTAGTTTATGACCTCACTAGTTCCAGGAGGAAAAATTTCTATTCATGGCCAGAGAATTTGCCCAGTTCTGAGATTAAAAGTTGTATTTAGTCTGAAGAACACTAACTGGAGAGAGAACTGCATCCTCAGAATATTAACTATACTTCCCCTTAATAATTAGAGTGATACCCATATAGTGGTCAACAGGCCCTACATTACAGTTCTGTGATAGAAATAAGCTCTAGTCTACTGCACATAGGGCGTCTGAAGATAGCAGTATCTGACTATGTACTTGAAGATAGCTAGAAGGAAAGGTTATGAATATTTTCACCAGAAAGAAAATATTTGTGACAATAATATGCTTACCCTAAATGGAGCATTACACGGTGTTTGTGTCACATAGAACCTCATAAATATGCACAATTTTAGATAAGTAAACAAAATGATAATCTCATCTTTAAAAAATAATGCATATAAAATATAGGAGAACATGAATCTTAAAGGCAATCTTGATTACTCTTTAAAACCAGATAGATTTAAAATCTTTGTTGAAATTTGTAAATAGTATAAAAATACAGCATTTTAGAGATATTAGGGAAATGTGGGGAAAAGTATCAAAAAACCTCATCTCGCTATTATTTTCTACCTAAAAGTAGAGAACAGTCTTAGACTTTTAATAGCTGAGGAGAATAATATTTATGAGGTGCACAAGTTGCATGAAATTCAAATTTGTTGTCTATAAATAAAATCTTATTGAAATACAGCCATGCTCCTTTTTAAGTTTATATTCTGAGGCTGCTTACACGCTGCCATGGCAGTATTGATTTCTTTATGAGAGACAATCTGACCACAAAGGCTGGGAACCACCTGGCACTGTTATAGAAAATGGTTGCTAATTTCTGTTCTTCAGCAATACTCTGCAATAGAGTTTTCTCTTATAATAGAAAGACGTGGACACATCTTTCCAGTCAGATGCAGCACCCGGTACTCAATGTAGCTACTGAAAGCTGGAAATGTAGCTATCGTGGCAGATAAGTTGATTTTATACATTTGAAATAATTTATGTCAGTTTACATTTAGCACATTATTTTAAAAATACTATTTAATTTTAATTATTTTAAGGTTAGTGTGCTCTATGCAACGATGTAGGCAACATGCTTTTTGGCTTGCAAAGGGTTACATGGCAGTAAACTCATCCTATGTTAAACATATAAGTTGAAAAAATTTACTTACCACACCCCACATGCTAAATACAATATCTTAGCAACACAGTGTACTGAGTAGAGGGCATTTACCGTCCTACCTGCACCACTGCCTGGGAGCTTCAGTATGCAGCTGAAGCAAAACCACCACAGAAGACATCCGGCTCCCACATACCTGGAGTGAAATCAACTAGGTCATTTCTGGCAAAAGCAAACGTTTTTAACACAGTCTGGAACTCAAACAGGATAAAAGAAGCAGCTCCTTTCCAACGGTATGGGCTGGTAACCAGTTAGTGACACCTGGAAAGCAATACCACATCACATCGGTAACTCTGGGAAGTATCACAATTTGAAGCATAGTTTTTACTGAATGCAACCATTTAGCACCGTAAAGAAAAAAGAAAAATTGAAAATCAAACTGTCAGAAGTCAGGAGCCATCTGTGATAACAGTTAACAGCCTTCCCTCTGAAGTCAGACCGCACGAGTTTTAATTTCAGTTCTGATACAAACTGTTTCTGAAACACTGGGAATTTTACCTAATCTCCCACTGCATTAATAGTAATGTCTACATTAAGGCATTGTAAGGATTAAGTGAGTTAATATCTGTAAAGTACCTAAAATTCCGCCTAGCAAGAGATTCTTTAAAAATTATAGTGGTTGTTATTGTTATCACTATTACTTTGTCTTGATATCAACATATGTACAACAAATTAATGCACCAAATATTCATATTCCAGCACCTACTGTATTACAAAAATGCCTAACTGAAGCAACAGAGAAACTCGTCTACAGGAGTTTATATATTACAAATCAAGATGCAAAAGAAAATGCAACAAAAATAAAAATTTCTTGTTAAAAATAGTTATTGATATCAATCAATATTATATTGCTATGTTTTATGCAGATAAAATATAAATTATGTTACTGCAAAATCTCCCATTGGTCTTGTTGTCATTTATACATTTAATTTAAAATTTTTGTTTATATTGGATCCCCTGCAGTTTTTCACTAATTGATTTTGTGGTAAGAAAACATAATAGGAATTTAAAATAGAAAATTATTTTAATGGAAAACTGCTAGTATGTATTTACTATGTTGAAGCTCCCCAAAGGTTTTATTTTTACAAATTCCTCTATTGCTAACTTGTGCTTATACACATAAGTATAATATCATTGCTGGCTCCAGAGAAAAAACAATTAGAGACCTGATAAATCAACAGGAAAGTTCTGTAATTCACCTAAAGCAGTTAATACTCTCAGAGCTTGGTTGGGAACCTGTGTGAGTTACAATGTTCTGATGACCAGTTTGACATTTCTGAAACAATGCCATATTTAGAGTTCACAGAAGTTAAGTAAAAGGTTAAGTAAAAGGTTACAATTGAGATCTGAAATTTTTATTGTTTGTCAAGAAGAACTAGTAATGTGTTTCTAGAGGTAGGTCTGATTATTGCCCATAGTATTTTTTTTTAGTTAACCCATGTGCATAGGATACATATTCACTTTACTTAATCAGAAATGTCCTGGAGCATTTTGTCATAATAAAGTAAAAGAGTGTTCCTCATAATGTGCCCCTTGTATGGTACTTGTCCCTAGAGCAAACAAGAATTTTTGAAGCAAAACCATCACAGAAGACATCCAGCTCCCACCTAACTGATATGGAATGAAATCAACTAGGTCATTTCTGGCTAAAGCAAATGTGTTTAACACAATCTGGAACTCAAGCAGAATAAACATGTAAGTTCCTTTCCAATGGTATCGTCTGGTAACCAGTTAGTGACATCTAATGCTGTCCACCCTGCTCAAGTGTGCCCACAGAAAGCTGGTCGTTGTGTGCTATGTCCAACACCAAACATTTTCCAAAGCCACAGTTGTGAGCTGTCTTGAGACCCGTTCCACAGGAACTGACTGCCAACTGAAAACCATAATAAAGTCATATACGAACATAGTTGCATAGGAGTTCTTTGTCCAAAACTAATTACAAAGAGAGGGAAAGAGAGAGATCATGAAAGTAATATTCATAAAATACTTAAAATATTTGTAGCAGGATACAGTAGATTATAGTGATATTCCATAGTTTCTTAAGAAAACATTGTATCTAAAAATCTCAAACCAACATTGTTTGACAAATGAGGGAGTATTTTATGGTACAGAATTTGGCATCATGAAAATAGACTTTAACAGACTCTATATCTATTATAACTACAAATACTTATTTATATTTAGAAAGTGCTAGCCAGACCTTCTAGCCAACACAAATTTTTAGGAAAAGAGTCATAAATTCAGTAATTGATGGTTTTTTGTTTGTTTGTTTGTTTTGCTTTTTTTTCCAGTACCGGGAATCGAATTCACGACCTTCTGCTTGCCAGGCAGGCACTGTGCCACTGAGCTAAATCCCCAGCTCCAAATTCAGTAATTGAACTAAGGAGAACTTTGAATTCAAATTAAACTTCCTAAATTCTGTTTTCTTAGAGAAAATGATTAGAGAAAAGAAATATGACTCATGCTGTGAGAAATTGTGGATTCTGACATGATGCTGTTTACTGTATTCCACTTCTATCCCCCAAAATAGTATTACTGATGACATCGTTGCAGTGACTTGAATTACTGCACAATTTTTTTTTTAATTTTTATATTAAGATATTTGTTATTTGCATATTTGTCAGAACGGTTATCAACAGAGACAGGTATTTCAGAAAGCTAATGAAAGTGAACATCAACCACTCCCTGCCTATTTCCAAGGCCGCAGGATAGGTGTCAGCGTTGTGTTTCCAAGAGCATATGACTTTGTAAAATGGCAAAGTTAAGACAGTTAGCTGTAAACACTTGAAACCTTTCCACTCCGAGTTCCCTGTCCTCACTCTTCCCTTCTTGGTGCACACTGAGTACTTATCAGCAAGGCACAAGCAGGGGAAAGCTGCTTTGACAACACATATGGTTTGTCATGGTGATATATATTTATGCTATATTCGGTCATTTTCATGTGTAGTTAAAATTTTGATAGCTGTGTTTACACAGTGAGGTCAGAAATGCACCTATAGCCTTTGTACTTCCTCATCCAGCAACTAAAGACCAAACTGAAAATTCGTAAGGACTTTCCCATACACTCAGCCTCCAGTTCTGCATTGGAGCCAACTAACCATGGAATGAACCCACTGAAACTGTGAACCAAAGTAAATCTCTCCTCTCTGTCTTTAAGTTGAGAGTATGAGATAGATATGTATTTCTACATTTTGTGATAGATTTGTTAATTTTTCAGACTATAATTTCCTGCTAATAGTTTAATTCTAAACCAATATTGATTTTAACATCAAATTTTAGTCATAATTTTGTATTCTTTTCTTAAGGCAACTCTCAAATTGTATAAGGTTTAATACAAAAACCTGCATCTGTCTACTTTTCTCAGATTTCAGAATGGATTACCACCTTGATTACGACTGCTTTGTATAATATCAGCCTTAATCCTCTGAGAAATTGCATCAGAAGCAGCACAGGTTCAAATTATTGTCATAAATATAATTTTGGAAATAAAAAATTTATACAGTGAAAGAAAAAGTGGAAGCCAATAAAAATATATCATGATAGAAAAACTTTCTTTTAGGAAAAAAAATGATCCAAATAATTTTTATAAGTGGAAATAATCATTAAGCACTGATCCTCAGGAACATAAAAAATTCCAACTCATGAGTTGTGGTAGACTTAATGATATATTCTAAAAATAATATGCCATGCCCAAGTATGATTTACTCTAGAATTAGATGTTTCTATGTTAGCTCACTGTGTTCAACCATCAGGGATGAAGTTGGGCTTGAATTCACAAACTCTTAAGAAACAGCACAATTCACATAAGATCAAATTTATCTAGACTTCAATATCAGAGTAAAACAATGAATGTAACAATGTATCAGGTACAGCAGGAGCAAAGTGGACACCCTATCGCTCTGCTTATGTTTCCAAAGTCACTAAATCATTTCACACTTGAGTCAGTCATGTTGACCTAAATCCAGAAAAGGTGTAAGTACTTCAGTCCCATTACACAATGCCAGTCATGGAACTCCTCAGAGGTAATGACCAGCTCATCTCACAAATACTAACACAAAATATTTTATAAATCTCAGTGATGAGGTACAGGTTCTTGGCCGCATATATAATTTTTGCTTGTTTGTTTGTTTTATGCAGTGTTGGGGATTAAAACCCCTGGGTTGTGCTTGTGTGAGGTAAGTGCTCTACTACTGAATTCTGGCCCAAATTTGGCACACACTATATTTCTTAATCAGACTCTTACATAAAGTAGATGTATTATCTGTGACAGAGTCCTTGAGTTAATGATGCAAAAACAATTCTACCACAAGGCAAGGAGCAGGCATCCGTGAGACTATGAAGGGTCACAGACCCAGGTGTTCTTTCCTTCTGATCAATATGAGATTTTTTTTTTCTTCATGGATAATCATGATAAGACACAAAAATGAAGAAAGGATTTACACACTTATATTGATGGGCAGAGTTCACAGGAGTCAACTGGTAAATACAACATCCAGTCTTGCTTTGAAAAAATCCTAATAAAATGATACTAGCAGTATTTCAGATTAAACAACTGAGTGCATAAATTACCTAATCCTTGTCAGTATCATATAATAGTGGTGAAATACCAAATGTATTCTAAATTAAGAAGCAAGGCAAAAATGTACCCTAATATCAATATAAATTAACATTATTTTGGGATTATTATGAACATAATACTATAAAATAAATTTTTAAATGTTTTAAAAGAAAAATGATTACAATTTACAATTAGTAATGCCTTGGAAAAGTGCGTTGAGGTGGCCTTACGAAGTACATGTAAAACATCAATAGTTCTTCATTCTCCATTGATTAAATGGTTATTAAGGTGCTGTTGTGTGCCAGATAATCTGCTATTTGAAGATGAAGCAGTGAACATGATTGAGTGCATATATTTAAGAAGCTTATCCTTCTCAGGGGTCCTCTGCCACAGCTGTGTGCCCACCGTCTAAGGAGTGTTTTAATAAAGGCATTTGTATGAGTCACACTCTCACTCTCCTGAATTAAGGCATTTAAAGAAAGAGTATGGATCCTTTTACTTTTATTTACTTTTAGTTAAAAAATAAAATTGCATACTGATGTGTATTATTTTTTAATATATGTGCACATTATGCTGTGGTTGGGTGTGTAGGAACATCATGGCGGAAGGACACCGCGGAGCAGAGCTGCTTAGTTCATGAGGGCCAAGCAGAGCATGGGCGGGAACAGAGCCAGAGCGGTACCGGACGTAACGTCCAAGCCAGGCTTCCGTTATTCACTCTCACATGCCCAGAGCATGCTTCTCCAACCCGGAATGGATCCCCACGCCAACCAAGTTGACACCCAACCTTAACTACCACGCACTATTCTCAAATTCATGTTAAACACCCACCAACATTAGTTTCTTAAACTGTTGTTGTGCTCTTTAGAAGCTTTAATTTAAATGAATTAAAATTATTCAAAGTATGCTCTCTGACCATACAGCAATTACGCTAGATATAAAAAATAAAATGTTAATGAGAAGCTGCTCTTCTATTTTTAAATTAAACAAGGCAAATATAAATAACTCTGGTTCAGGAAGATGTCATTATGAAATTTATATATATTTTTTAAAGAAGAGTAATAAAGTAATACATACTGTACCTCACAAGATCCTGGCATAAATTGGTTTTGAGGAAAATTTATAGATTAAACATACACAACATCCACCAAAACATGTATATATACTTCAGGAAAAGAAAAATAGTATGACTTTTTTCCAACAGGTGGTGTTACCCTCGTATGGAAGACCCTAAAGGGTGTAATATATAACACAAAGAAACAGCCCTTAGAGAAGAAACTGAAAATGCATGTGCAGGAATCTCAGTGGACCAAGGTCACCCAGCAGCAGTTTTCTGTGCTAATGAATGTCCAGAGGAAACGGCCACCTCTTTGAGCACCTCTTGTAACTGCAGAGGCCAAGGTAACATGTTAATCTCGTGATGTCTCCATATATTTAGTATTAATATATTTATACAAGTTTTTTTTTCCTAAAATGTGTACACATTTTTGGTGGACTCTGTATATAAGAGAAAAATAAAGCTGAAGCTCAATGATCTGAGTATAACTTTTAAGAAAATAGAAAAATAATAAAAAATGAAGAAAACCAAAGAATAAAGAAAGAAATAATAAAAGGAAATGAGTTAAGAAAAGATAAAACAAAAGTGATCTCTACAGCTAGGGGATATAGTAATAAAACTGACATCATGGCAAAACAAAAGCAAGAGAGAAAAATAGTAGTCACAAAGATCCAATATTGGGAATTAATAAAAGCATATAACAAAAAAAGTCATAAAATAAAGAAATATAAATATATGTGATACCAGGTTGGAGATCTGACCCAGGCTCATGACGCCCTTGGAGGAAATATCATACTGTGCAAAGCCCAGCTGGGGAGGAATCTGCATAAACAATGACACATATGATAATTAGGGTTGGGAGAGGCCACGGGTTGCAGAAGACCACTGGGCACATGGGCAGGGACTTACTGTATATAAACTAAGTCGCCTGGTCATCTCTACCCATTGTTAGTTATGGGCGTCCCATGCCTGGGCTGATGTTTAACTCAGAAGGCGGATCTAGCCCAAGAGAGCAGGCTTCAGGTGGACCCTCCCCTTCCACAGCTGTTTCCGTGGCTACCTTGTGAATCACAGCTGGCTCAGGAAGCAGGCTCCATGGAGACCTGACCCTCCCTTTTTCCTTCAGGCTCTTTTTCAGTTTCTTCTACCTCAAGTCAACATTATGGAAAGAAAATTTCAATAAATGCCTGACTTGCTTCAACAATACTTCAGCAACATAGATAATTTGGGCAAATTTTAGAAGTGATCTCACTTAACGTCAGTTGACTTAGCTGTGTATTTATTAGTGTACATTATTTCTCAATATATTGAGTAAACCTGTGAGAAACAAAGAAAAACTTATCAAGATCCCAAACTTACAAACCAGTGAGGTAAGTATAGATACTCCTTAGCTAACGCAGAGGTTATAACAGCTTGAAAATGTTCTACATTGAAATGCGTTTCATACCCATAGCCAGTGTCACTTTTGTACTGCAGTGTATGGGTTCTTTGCCCAATATCATATCTCTGGGAGCTGAGGCTCACTGCAGGGCCAGCATCAGGGAACAGCATCTTACCACTAGTGATAAGACCAAAGTTCCAAATTTGAACTAAGACCCCTAACAAATGTGTGTCAACTTCCCACCATTTTAAAATTGAAATCACCAAGTCAAACTATGTAAGACACCTCTGTACCCCCGCGTAATTTCATAACAATCTTAAGTACTGGCATAAATCAACCTGGAGGGACAAAGGAATATGTGTACGCAGAGTGTGAACGCCTATTCAATTCATTCTCCAGTCAGAAAACAAATAAAACACCGCAGAGTGGTAGTGGTCAATGAAGGTATTTTTGAGAGAATAACAATGAAAATGAGCTTGAAAGGCAAAGTCAACAGGAAATGAAAAAGTTCTAAGCAGAGGTGTGAGTGGGCCAAAAGTCTTGTAGGCATGGAAATATTCAAGTTTGGTATTCACGGATTATATCTTAAGACTGTATCTTAAGAATACAGAAGAGAGGAGCTCGAATAGAGTGAGTTTAAGCATAAGAATACAACGCGAAGGTCCTGAGTAGCCTGTTTTCCACACAAAGGTCTCTGACTGTAGATCAACAGCAACCAGCTGCTGCAAAGCTTTTAATAAAGGGGCTTCACATAAACAGTTATGACTTTTGCCAACATCTTTCCTTCCAAATGTGATCTATAGAACAGGGTCACCAACAGGTGTAAGCATCTCAATGCAGGAAGTCAGGCCCCATCCTAGATCTACTGACAGAATCTGCCTTTTCCCTAAGTTCTCTGATGATCTCTATGTGCATGTAATTTTGAAATATGCTGAATCATATTATTCCAAGGGGGCACATTTTTTCCTTGCTGCAGGCATGATTCGAGTGAGTGTGACAATTAGGAATAAAAAACTGTAGCACTAAAGTTACAAGATGCAAGTGATTTGAGAAGTCATGAAAGAGAAATGGAACAGGAAATGACTTAAGAGTAAAGTTAACTGAATTTTTGTTGGGTTAAACTTGGAGATTAAGGGAGAAAACCAGTTGAATATCATGCCAAGGTTAGTCTGAGTGGAAAAATAGACGAGGAATGTACTGAAAGAAGCAGGTGTAGAAAATACCTTATTATACATGGGAAAAAGCTGAGTATTATCTTAAAATATCCAGTAATAATACGAAAAGGCTTTGAAAATGGTAAATCACTGACTTTTATGGTGTGCTGTAGCTTATAAGGCTCTTCTATAGCTTTGCAGTCTTGTCTGTACTGTCTCATGGTATTAACTTGAATTTACCACTTTAATGGAGGTTTAAATTTTATGCAATAATAGCTACTTTCCTTAAAATTTAAGAGAAATGACTGTAAAGTCATCAGTTTAGGGTCAGAGTGACATAATTTATTTTCAGATTCTGGAATTGCATTATCCATGCTGTGTACTTTTGACTAGTGATAAACTTGTAAGAAACTTTAAGAAATTTTTGTTGCATTAAAACATTTATGGAAGAAATTGTCTGAGTTTCCATCTTTCATGATACGACTCTTGGGAACTACTGCACATGCTGGAACTATGTAAACTATTCTTCAGCAAGTCTTTATTTCAGCATTGCCTAATGCAGCAACATTACTCTGCTTTTAATGCCTTTTTCTGTTTATTTTTTAACAGAGGCAGTTTGAAAGATCCAACACAAAATGAAGAAAATATTGTTGTTACAACATGGGGGGCAGGAAGTACAAAATCACCATGCTCTATATTTGCTCAATATGTCTGAATTATGAATGCTGTCATCAAAATGGAAAATGATAGGTAGACAGATAGCTAATCAAATTCTATGCATTTTACTCCACAAGGAAGATTACTGACTTAGGTATCTTTATTCTGTCTACAGTTAATGTTTCATATACAAAAGCAAATGAAAGGCCAACTCACTATGGAGACCCAAATAGGAAAGTTACTTTCTAAGGACATTAAGTCTTAATTAATCATTTATCACTTATGAATAATAAAATAAAAATATCTTGCTAAATCTAGGTTAACACTATTTTAGAATAGCTAACACCATTTTCTCTACATGCTAGAAAACATTACACTGATAAATTTCTCATGCTAATAAAATTCCTGACATTATTTTGATTTGATAATAAACTATATTTGATACCAAATAAATCAATTTGATATTAAATGTTATAATATTTTGAGCATAGAATTTATGTAACATCTTTTCCACTGATCTGTGTTACAAAGAGTCCATTTTTCAACTTGAAAGCTAAAATAAATTTTAAAATATTTATATTAAAATTCACTTCTACAAAACATACATTGATTAGATATTTAATATACATATAAATTTCTTGTCTATGTGTGTTATTGATGCAGGAGCCTAAAAATATAATGACAACATGATAAACATAGCCCTTTGAACATGTAAAATATAATGTGGTCAAACTGAAGGCAATTAATGGAAAAAGAAAGGACAATAACCTGGAAAAAAGAATGGCTGGACTCACAACGGAATAGTTCAAAGCTTTCTCACTAATTATTCACATTTATATTCAAGAGTATTTCTGGTTTTCATTGGTTTCAATGCTTCTTCAATGCAAATAATATTTGTATGTCTATACATATAAAACAAGTAAAGCAATTAAGTTGAAAATAATTATGTGGATAATCCAAAGCCTCAATCTACTGATGAAGAAAATAAGGGATAAAAACATCACATGCTTTCCGTTATAACAATGGGTGGTTACATGAGATTTCCATGATAGTAAACACAAACATAGTATTTTTACATAAGTAAATTTTTCCCTGTGGTGACATTTCTGTAGCAGTTGGTACCACTGCAAATTTATAGCATAGTTTGTTGGCCAAGAAAATCTATACTTTTATTTTTGTTTTTTTTCCCTTTAATTAGATTTAACACACATGTAAAAATCAAAAACTGCAAACAAGTTTTCAAAAGCTCATGAGTTCTGACACAAGTTGCCAATGGGTGAGTGTCACTCATTAGAACATAAAGATCACAAGCTCATGTAAAGAAATCAAGTAAAAGGTAACTTTTTCTCTGTGATGTTGTATATACTGTATTTACAGTTTAAAATAGTTTTTCTCTGCTCAAAAGCCACAAACCACAATTCAAAATGTATGCAGATTCTACTGCCAGAGAGGGTTCATAGGTTCCTCATACATACAGCACAACTGGTTGAAAACTAAAATCAATCATGAAGATACTCCTAGCCTACAGACAAAACAATATGTGTCTCCAACCGAAATTGCCAGGCCTTCTCTTTCTGTCTTTATACTTTCTTATTTCACCACTTTTTAAACCTAGAGCAGGGCTGGGGATTTAGCTCAGCGGCAAAAGCGCCTGCCTGGCAAGCGCGAAGTCGTGAGTTCGGTTCCTGGTACCGGAGAAAAAAACAAAACAAAACAAACAAAAATAAAACCTAGAGCAGGAGAACATTAAACATCAAATTATAAAAAATTATTTTATCTCAAAATCGTACTTTTCTATAAGTTACCCATTTGAATTTTGCATTGCCTTCTCTAATGAGTTAAATTATTTATGCCTTTGTCTTTGGGCAGATGTTTCTTAACTTACTTTTCCTAAAACTTTGAATTGTTTCCATTAAAAGAGAAAAAGAATTTTGATTACACAAGAATGATAAAATTATTATTGAAAATCATATTAGACAGTTTTGGGTGAATTACCATGATATTATGCCAGTGGTCATGATATAAAGATTGCAATCCTCATGGAAAATAATAGAATTAAGTCTTGTTGTAGGGGAGCCATCAAAGCAGTCAACTAAATATCAGTGTAAATGAAAAAGGCTGAAAACAGGACACATTAAGTTAAATTTCAATCATCCATTAAAGGGAGAGTATCATGCCAAGTATGGTATGGAAAACAAAAGAAAATAGACATGTTTTAATTGATGGATTAATCTACTTCATGGATTGTATGCTATAGTAGAGTTTTACTTACCTAAAATCTCATAAATTTTTGGATTGAAGGAAAAAATTCCATTTTTGTGATTCTTGCCATTTTGGTTCAAAATACAAGTAAATCTTGTCATTACCATTTATCTGATCATTATATTCTGTCAAAAAATGTTCCATAGTTATTAGAGCATGTTTTTGATAAGTACATATTTGATCTTTCATAATTTGCATAGCTACATTTTTAATGATGTTATTATTTCTATTATCTATAATGCTTGTTAGTTGAGCAAAATCACATATTTGCTAAAATATATTTTAATATAATTATTTGTCATGTGTTGGCTTTAGTATTTGAAAATTAAGAATTTGTTTCTAAGTTTGGTACACTTGTTTGAGTATAATGTTGGCAATTTGGCTATAATTAGAAATAATGTCTTCATATGTACATAGAATAGGGATTTTCGTTTCCAATAAATCCTCCATTGTTCATGTTATTATTAGAAGAGCACCAATGGTTTTAGTATAAATACAGATTAAAAGTTTCTTTTTTTGCCATTAAAATAGGTTTTGTTAGTGAGAAAGTAAGA